ATATATATACATACACTTCCACAGACAGAACAGGGATGTTTTGATTTTTTGGAGAAATAGTTGTTTTTCTGGATGTGCTACATGAGCAGGTTGTTTGATGGATGGATGAATTAGCTGAACATAATGAAGGATGTGTCCTAACTGGACCAGATGCTTACAAAACAAAGGCATTAATGATGGTGCTGAGAAGAAGCTGTGGAAACAGTGAAGGAGACAGAAGGAGAAGGAGCCTGACTCTGCAGCTCTGTCAGCTCTGCTGCAGACTGGCTGCAGACTGGCTGCAGGGTGATGACACACAGGCCCCGGCTGCTCCACCTGCACCACACTCCCACAGCACGGAAATCCACTCCCACTGAAAGCCGAGGGAACCCTCATGGGTGGCCGGAGACATGGATACGTCTCCGCGCGCAGCCGCCCTAATTAAGCTGCAGATTTGTAAAAAAAATAAACAAATAAATAAAAGTTTACTAATAGCTGGATTGGATGAGGATGATTGTCTTCATTTGGCAAAACTGGATTTTATTTGCGTTTATTTTATGTTTGTGAAGGTGGTTACTTGCTGCAGCGGGTTATGGTGGCTGAAAAACCATCAAAACATCTCAGCACATATTTATAAAAAAATAAAGCCAAACATTACAAATAAAACTGATTTATTTCTGATGAAATTAAATGTAACATATAGCATTAAATAAATGGTTTATAACATTTACACATAACACATAAAACAGTTAAAAGTTTGTTTTAATGAAAAATTGAAAAATCCTTTACAAAAGGAGGAAGTGTGAAGAGTGAGCTGAAGATTATTAGTGTGGAGCACAAAAGAAAATAAAAGAAGTTAGTTTTGAGGAGCACAACCAGGAGACAGAAAACAAAAAGTATTTTAAGGTTTAAAAAAAGCTTTTGCAACATGTTTCTTCGCAGTTTTCAGAAAATCCTACAGAGACATCCAAAGTGCAGAAAGCATCTGGAACATTGAGTGATGAGTCCAGGTTAGGCGTGCACTCTACATTTAAATGTTTAAAGCTATTGTGGAAATTCTTGTATAAAATGTTTCAGGTCATTTAGAGTCAAAGAGACTGTTCAGCACATCTGTCACCTCTGCTTGTAATGCTGCAGCATATGTACATCCAACACACTGTAAGTACTTTGTCCAATTTTATTTATTGTTTTATTCATTTATTTATTTAAATTTTATTATTTCTGTAACTGTCAATCGATTTGTCTAGATGACCATTTTGCATATATTTTTTCTATTTTAATTTTATTTATGTCTTTTGCTGCAGAAAAAATATCTCCCAGATGCAGTGCTGGCTCTAGCCATTTTGGTGCCCTAGGCGAGTT